CCTCTTCACCGCCACCACCTCTCCCTTCTTTCTGTACCTCCCCCAACAATAATAATAATAACTTATTACCGCCACGATTAGACCCAAAACTGGGTGGTCAAAATCAAAATCTCGTTGCATTCATTAGAGATCGTGATATATGGGTTAGTACAATGAATGGCTGCGAAACACAATTAACATTTTGTAATGATCATGATCCAGATGGTAATTCTGCGCTAAGTTGTGGAGTTGCAGAATTTGTGATGCAAGTACGGAACTATTTCAATTGATATCTATTATTTGTCATTATTATTATTTAAGTATTGGAACCTACATGTTGTGTGTGTGTATATATTATATATATTATACTAAGTCATGTTTATTTATCCATCAAAGGAAGAATTCCATCGTTTTACGGGTTATTATTGGGCACCCACTTCAACTAATAAATATATGAAAGATACTTTAGAACGTATACTTTACTTACAGATATCAGAGTCTATGGTAGATTTAGTTTTAATATCAAGGCCTGGATCACCAAGCGAAGTAGAAGAATACCGATATCCAAGAGCTGGTTAGTGTACTAAGTTATCATAACTATTATAATATAATATTATATAAGCCTTTTATTTTGTCAATTGTCTAAATATCATAAAATAATTAATTAGGTAGACTTAATGCAGTGAGCGATTTACAGATTGTAGAATTTTCACCGCGTTATTACGAAGACGAGGTCATTGTTTTTACATGTCTTTGCTAAGTGAATTTTATGATATATCATGTAATTGAATTGACGAATTTTTAAAGGATCCCGCACATGGTCCTGTTCATAAAAGACTATGGGGTTGCGCCACGTTGGATAAACTTTTCCCATGGATGGAATATATTGTTCGATTTGGCTGGTGTTCTAATGGAAATAGGTGTGCAGATTTGTTTTAAAAATAATAATAATAACAACAATATATAAATTTGTTGAAGATGTCTTATTTTTAAATATATCAAGTGTATGGGTTCAGTTCCTTGATCGACCGCAAAAACGAATGGCTATGGTAAGAATTCCCATTAGGATCTTTATGAGCTTATCTGAATATCAAGAAAGCGAAGGAAAATATGATGAATTCTACATGTCCCAAATTGAAGTAATTTTTGAAGAAAGAAGTAATATTTGGATAAATGTAGGTAATTCTGTTTCATCTTGTATTATCATTAAATATAATTATATATAAATATATACATACACATACATATATGTTTCTGGTTTATGTACTCTTTTAATAATATTTATAAGGTAGTGGACATATTTTATTTTTTTAATGACAATGAAACAACAACACTTTCAAAACATAATTCATATTCGACAAATGATTATGTTGAATCAACAAAGCTCTTTATTACTACAGAAACCACTGGATTTAGACACCTTTATCTCGTTCTGAAATATTCAAATATTTCAGAATATTCAATTAGGCAAATTACTGCAGGAAACTGGCCGATTGTTGACAGACCCATATTTGTTGACACTAGGCGAGAGCTTGTATACTTTACAGCGAAAAAGGACACGCCGTTGGAAACACATTTGTATGTTGCTAGTTATGCTGAAGGGGCAGAAAATAATGAAATTATAAGGCTAACAGAATTAGGATACAGTCATATTGTAGTAATGGATGAAAAATGTGAAAAGTTTTTGGATTGGTTTTCCAGTATAAATGATAAACCTTGTTGTGGAATTCGATATTTAGAATGGGTTGATGATAAATGCATTTTCCCGAAAGTGAGCGAGAATATGGGTATTTTAGTGAAAGGCGGCAAAGAAGACGATAAAAAAGAATCCGAGGAAAGAAGACACAGCAAACAAAAAGTACCGGTTGGTGAATTTTTTGATTTCATAAATAAAGATGGTGTGAAAATATACGGATGTTTATATAAGCCGGATATGTATGTTCCTGGAAAAAAGTATCCAACTTTATTAAGTATTTATGGAGGACCCAAATCTCAAGTAAGGAATAAAATTACATGAATTACAGTTATAATTATTTATATATATATTGAAATATTTATATATAATTAAATAGATGGTTACCAATGATTACAAATATCCGAGATTTCATCGATTGTTTTTAGCGACACATTTTGATTTTGCAGTTGTTTTGATTGATGGGCGTGGATCTTCAGATAGGGGAATAGAATTTGAGTCGTATCTTAGGGGACGTATGGGTACTGTAGAGCTGGAGGATCAAATAGCGGGATTACGATATTTAGCATCAAACAATATGGGAGTTGATTTAGACCGAGTAGCTATAACAGGATGGAGCTATGGTGGATATTTAAGTTTGATGGCATTGGCACAATACCCTGATATATTTAAATTGTCCATTGCAGGAGCACCAGTAACACAATGGGAATTATATGACACTGCTTATACCGAGCGTTACATGGGACTTCCGGCTGAAAATATAGAAGGATATAATAACGGAAGCGTTTTAACTTGGGCAGACAGATTTCCTGACAAGTATATATATTAACTTTTTTATTTTATTTTATTTAATATTTTAATAATCTTATTTTTTTAAATATATATATGTGTATGTATAGTGAACATCGATTACTGATTGCTCATGGTCAAATAGATGAAAATGTTCATTTCAAGAATTCAGAACTTTTAGTATCAGCCTTGGTTAGACATAATAAACCACATGTATTACAACCATATCCTGCCGAACGTCACGGTCTTAGGCATGCGAATGTTGCAGAACACTTTGAAACTTTAATGTTTTTTTGGTTGTTAAATTATTTGTGATGAACTTTTTTACATGAATGTGTTGTAAATTAAAATGGTTTGTGTTCTTGCATGTTTTATTAATTTATATGTAATTTAATTCTTTGAGGAGAAAAAATGATTTTTATTTTATAATTATTTATTTGGGGATATTTTAGATATCTCAAAACATGAACATTGACATTCATGATTATTAAAAACTCTATATTAATAATAAATAGAAAATCATTTTTTTCTTATAATACATATATTTATTTTTGTACTAATAATATTTATTTATTTATTTATCTAGTGTATTTAATATTTATTTATTTTTATGTATTATAAAATCAAAAAAATGTGTTTTTGCGTTAAGATTTTTTATTCTTTTTTTTTAATGTTTTCCATTTTAATGTCTTCCATTTTAATGTCTTCTTTTTCGATATCCTCAAGTTTTCTAAGACTTGAAGATTCATTAAGTTCTTTTAATTTAACAAGATTAAATGCAATTGCTAATAAAATTGACAAAGTTCGTCCTTGATCTATAGTAAGCGTTGAAGTAGTTGTTGTTGAAATATAAAATAAAGAAAGCAAGAAACTAGATTTCATATCATAACTTGGTTGCAAAAGTACTGAAGGAGTTGTAAATGACCAAAAAGGTGATCCTAGTTTAAAAGCAGATGTCCATATAGCACCACCAGAGCCACATAAAGTTCCTAATTATTATTATTATTATTATCATTATTATTATTATTATTATTATTATTATTATTATTATTATTATATTATATAACTAAAATTTTGCCAATACAGGCCATATTGCCCAACCGGCGAAACTTTAATTCTCACCACATAATATCATTGCTACCAAACTATTGCTTAAATCAGGATCTTTATTACGAGAATCGTAACGTATACTATCTATTCCTAACAAACAGATGGAATATCCGCGTAGGATTCCATCAGCAATTAATAATATTGGATTTATGATATTATTCGGAATTAAATTGCTTAATCGGTAAAATGGTTGAAAGTAAAACATCAAAGTGTATATCAAACTATGTGAAAAAATATTAAAAAAGATTAATATTTTTGTTTTTTATCTTGAAAATAAAAATCAATTATATATATAAACTTACAAATAAGTTGTAATTGTTACATTTGAAGAAAGCCATTTTGGTGCTTCTCCGCAAAGTATTGCTAAAAAAATAATCTCAAAGGCATTAAAGATCAAAAAATAAAAAAAAACTTGGTGAATACTTGCTTACCACTAGAAGTACTTCCTCCAACACTCATTACAATTACAGCAAAGAAACCTTGTAACCAAGGCACTTTGGAATGTTTTAAACTATTTTTATAATTTAAAGTTACATAGATTGCATGTAATGTAGTTAAAATACTTAACGGTAAAAAGGTTTCATGCCAAACTAAACTTGGTGAATTGTTAATAAGCTGTGAAAATGACTCGAAACTAGTAGACGCCATTTTTAAAATATGTTGATCGACCAATAAATCGTATTGGGGGTTCCACACATTAAATTTTGATTTTTGCCGATTATTTTTCAAATTAAAATTTCATATTGTCTGCCTTTTTGCAGTGTAATATAAATTTCTTAGAAAGAAAATCTGTACGAAAAAAATAGTCATTAGTTTGCAAGCTCAGAATTTGATCCATTGAAATGTACTTTTACAGCCACCTTAATTGCGTGTTTGCCAAAAATATTTCTGATTCTGACAGATATTATCTAAACTATTCAGGATAAACCTTATTTTTTGATAAAAATGTGTTATAGTAATAGTGGAGCAGTGTGCATTCGTAAACTTGAAGGTTAATAATCTAGAATTTTATTTTCACTTCGTACCACGCATCTGGTCGCGTCCAAATTTAGTACACACTTTATTATACAAAGAAAGTGTACTTGCCGCATTATACAAAATGGAAAAATATCTTATATGTATTGTTTAGATTCGAACTGAATAGATATAACATTTTGTCATATTAGATTAGTTGGTATGATGCGTCATAAAAAATGTGATAGAAAGCTTATAACGCCCCTTTTTTGAAAAATTTGCTAAAGAAAAATTTTATTTATATCAATTTCGAGAATTCCATACTAATGAATATATATATAGAAATTAAAGGAAATTATAAGAGGTCAAAATAAATCGGAATGACAATATAAGGAATCTCTTTATACACAAACTAGCAATAATTAAAATATAAATTCAATTTTTTAATAACCAACTAGTAAAAAATTTGTCTTTATCAAACTGCCAATTTTTCAAGTGTCACCAAAATAGTTTCTGCCTTTTTCCTTATCTTTTCGTAGTCAACTTCATAAGAGTCTTCTGGTTCCACTTCATCTCTCCATTCGAATGACAACGGAATGTAACTTTCAGCTAATTCAAAAAAGTCTGCAATCTGATCATACACTTCATCACTGTAATGATTTTTATCATTCTTGAAAATTTCTAAAAACAGTTTAAGTAAATCATCCCTTTCATTTTCAGAGTTGGCAATTTCATTGAGAACGTCTTCATATACAATAAGTACAACTGCACGTAATTTAAAAGGTGGTTGTGTTGCATGTTTGTATTGATCATTACTTAGCTTCCATCCGGACAATAATCGATAATCTTTATTTCCCCCACGGTAAATTATAACACACTGATAAGTTACAGGATCAACTATAAGATACGCATTATCATCCTTATAACTTCCACGATAAACGTAGTTCATATTTTTTCTAATAAACTCTCGAAGAATCCTCATAAGTTTCTCTCCATTTTGTTTATTCCAATTATCGTTTTCGGTAAATCCCCAATCTTTCTTGTGTCTATCAAATATATGTTGCAACCTCTCACGTAGATAGTTAACCCGATTCATTTCAAAGTAAATAAACGTAGGGTTACGTACGTTAGCATATGAATAAGTGTTATATTCTCCGTAATTTCCTGGAGCATTTAATCTTACTTGGTTTCCTCCAGAAACAGTTCCGATCCAATGTTTACCAGTGTATACATGTCGACCATCAGGAAGAGATGAATGACTACTATGATTACTTATATAGAACCAGTGTCCATCAACCCATTCTCTATTTTCTTTGCTATCGTCTTCGTACAATCCGATCCAATCCCAGCAAGATGGTGTGATTACTGACCAAGCAAATTCTATTTTTCCAGAATTTATTATACACCTTAAGTAACATACTTCTCTTCCAGTTTGTGACATTGCGTGTGTTTCTTTAGGGTAAAAAAAATATGTTTGATGATTAAATACAATTGTATTCTATTTGATAAGCAAAAATGGGTAATTTTGTAGTACAATCGATAATAAGTCATAAATCCATTCTATTTTTGGCACATCACGAATTAATTGCATCATAATTCGTAAATAAAAATGGCAGGAAATTTCGGTGACCTTCAGGTCGCTAAAAAATGACTTATGCATTATAAATTATAAGTTATTTAAGCATTTACCTTCAACAATTGATACAATAAGTTTTTTCACTACAGTATTTGAAATAAGACATACGTGAAAAATTACGTGCGCGTTACAATTCGTAACGCCGATCATTTTTTCCAAGAAAAATTCTCGATCATATACAGATTAGCCTTGCTATTTACCACTAATATACATCAATACCAATACATCAGAAAAAAATTCCAAAAAGTAAACACGATTATATATGTATATGAGTGAAATCGGGCCACCGGGGCTTGCTTTATTGACGTAGTAAAAATACAGGATAAATAAAAATACAAATAAAAATAAAATACAGAATAAAGATATCATCAGGAAACTTTTGAGCTTAAGGATCCCTTAAAATGCTATAGGATCCTATAGGATCCTTGATTTTTGTAGATCCTTAGGGATTCTTTCAAAAAATTTAAGGATCCCTAAAGATTCCTTAAAGTTCATGGATCCTTTAATATAAAATTTACAAAGATCCTCAAGGAATCTTACATAACTAAATCAATATCAATAAAATAAATATAACAAATATTTTTTAAATTTTATTTTTTATTTGCAAAGAATTCATTTTTAAAATCAATCCTGCATAGAATTAAATGGGATTACATCATAATGTTTTACTAATTTCATATGAGGGCATCCATATTTTAGAGAATGTCTTTTAGAACAATAATCACACCAACATACTAATACAACAGGCAAAACAGACTGATTAAATGAAAATGAAATTTCAGCTAACATATTTATCTACAAATTATTAAATGTAATTAATGAATACAATATATAATGAATAAAAAAATATGAAATTCTATATAGCTTGCCTTTCCATAATATCAGTTAAGTAATCAACATTGTCCATTGCAATTGCAATATCATTAAATCTTACCTTACCATGAAATCTGCTAGTAGTATATACAATTTCATCATTTGATAATGTGCCAGTTGCATAAATTTTTAAATAAATGTCATCACTCTCAGAAATATTGGTTTTTTTGTCTAAATATGCATCAAAACAACCAATTAAACTGCACATGCCTTTGATACATAAAGGATTTGTACTTCAAGTGAGCCTGTAATTCACTAATTGGCAATTTCCAAAGTAAAGACTTCATAGATTCCAATTTTGGAATAAAAAGTTTTTTTGAAATGGGTGTAATTATTTGTTGCTGAATCTAAAAATAATTAAAATATTAAAATAAAAAAAATTCAACAGAATATTAAAATATACTATTTGATCCAATTCATCCTTTTTACTTGTCATCCTATGTGGATTTTTGACCCAATTTTTATGAATGCTTCATAGGTTTCAGTTGTTAATCCATTTAATGCACCATGATGCCAAATGGGGGCATTGAGAGTTTGATATCTCCACATGTGAAGTTTTGGTAAACTAAGACTACTGGGTGAAAACTATTTAAATAACTTTATAAAATCATGCATCCAATTAATTATCTCTTGCTACCAAAAAAAAATTAACATGTCATGAGACCCTCTGGTAACTTATTCATTATATAACTTTTTTTTTCATCTCACTTCGTTTGAATATTTGTTGAATAGAAACATTATCATCTAGAAAATGAATTGATTTATTTTCTTTCTTTAAATTGTAAAATTCTAATTAACAATCTGCTTAAAACTTTTAACTAAAATATTTAGATAAGAAATATTTTTAGTTGATACTTCATTGTCTTGAGTTTTGGTGTTTTTCATTTAACAAGTTATCCAAGTTTTCACAAAGCAATTGAATAATGGTGTATATGTAATTGTTTAAGTTTAAGGGGTGAAGAAAGTTATAATGTTGTGCTAAATCTGATTTTCGAGATAATTTTCTGGTGCAAAGGTCACACTGATACATTGCGAGTAATTTAATTTATTATTTATTATTATATATGAAATGTAAATTTTAAAGCTTCAAAGCTTAAAAATGAGCTTATAAATTAGACTTTTTGAATAAATATATGTATATATAAACTCTAACCTTTTATTACTTTTATTCATTGAAAAAAAATTACCTAAAGAAAAAGGTAAAAAATTAAGGTTTTTAATATTTCTATTCAAATTTTATAAAGAATTTCATCAAGGAATAAAAAACATAAAACCTTCTAATGGAACTAATTCCAACTCTGCATTGAGTGGAGCTGATAAAAAAATTGCAGAATGATTGGCTGCTGCTAAGGGTGGGGTTTTAAAGTTAATATTTAATTAAATATTTAAATAATACTTTACGTTTATTATGCAGCAAAAGAAAGATGTCTTCTTCCTCCAGTGTTTGCCTAGTTCCTATCATTGCATATTGATTTTTAATTTGGTTCATTTTAATTGAAATAAAAATTCTGTAATTTGTATCATATAAATATAGAAGGATCCTTAAAGAATCCCTCCCTAATAGTAAATCAAGGAATCTTCGGGATATTTTTTCAGAGTTTTCAGCGGATCTTCTCGGGCGGCGAAGGATCCCTTTAATAAAAATCCTTAAGCTCAAAAGTTTCCTGATGATAAAAGACCATTTGATCTACGATCATATGCACTGCGTAATAAAGACATATTAACTATTAATATATTTCGGAAAATTAATAATATGTGTATAAAATTAGATAAAATAGAAGGATCATTGGGGAGGCGCATAGGGGTTTCAGCTTCTTGTATTTTATAATAATGATGAACTTCAAGCTCATTTCTAATAAGAATATTCAAACACAACTTACTGCCTGCTACTTGAATACCGATAATGCCAAATTTCTCATTTTCTAATCTACGAGTTTTGTGCGCCCAAAATAATCCATCATTACATTCACCCCATCATCTTCCTCTTCTTTTTGTTTAGTACAAATAACCTTGGAACATTCTGTATACATTAATTCATAAAATTTATCATCTTCTTTACTTAAAAACATAATATCAGGCCGCCTTCCTACTTTCCAATACCCTCTTCTATCGGCACTTGCTAAACTCTGCCGTTCAAAACTAAAAATATAAAAATATATATAGCTGAATACTATACATCCGAGTAATGAAATTATCTATCCTAAGATGTCTTTTAGATTAAACTTACGTAGTAATAAATGCGGTCCCTCCAAAGGGATTATTAAATAAACAAGCATTAATTAGTGGAACAATTACATTATTTACATAAGTATTGTAGCAAGAAATTCTGGACGGAAAGCCGGATTCTGCCAAACTTGTTTTAAAGTTCCTAAAAATTTTAATGTAACTTCTTCAAGTCTATTCACATCTTCTTTCCAGTCCATTGCATATAACAATCCATATGGTAACCTAGATGAATTTTCAGATAAAAAATTCGATACGAAACCTCTACATATATTTTCAACTTCTGATATAGGAGCGGGTTTCATTAATCTTATCGTTTTCTAATATTTCATTAAATAAATATCTTGTATTATATAGTTTGTGTATAAGGAGATTATTTCAATTTCTTACATTAGTAATGAATTTCCGAAATTGATATAATTAGAATTTTTCAAAAAAACTTTTACGTATTAAATAATCAATCCTGAAAATTAATTTTACCTTTTACTTTACGTTGCTTTTGGTTAGGATGCTTTTTACAAATGCATGTGTATTTTCTGACCAAAGAAGTAATGCTCGAGTCAGAAGTATCAGAATTAGAAATGTGTCCGAATCATTACTAGTGGAATAATGTTGGTCTCTTTTTATTGCGGAATAATGTGCTTTTGCCCTTTTCAAAGATGCTTCTCTAATTCATCCATTAGTCTAGATTGTATCTTTTCTGCGTTTCGTTTTACTCTTCTAATTTTTTCTTTATCGGATCATCTATTTGGAATGAAAGGTGGTGGAGAAAAAATCTGATTTATAGCATGATTCTTTGGTCCCTTAACTCTGGTTTCGGTTTCTATCCGGATTTAATCATTTCTGTAAAATCTTTTAATGGTATATTAGGGTTAACTTTATTACACATCCTTACTTTGTGATGTTCTTGCTTAAAAGATTTTTCCGTATGTATGCTCTTATGCATATGTAGCCTGGGTTCTAAACTGGACGATTATGAAATGCTTGAGCTAGAAGAATCAGAATCAGAGGTATCAGATTCAGAATTAGCAAAATAAGGATTTTTTGGGGGGGTTTGCGAATTTATTATTATTTAATATTTATTAATTTTATTTTACAAATTGGTGACATCGTTGGCAAACTTTGCAAAATTACAAAACTCAAAATATAACTCTTAAACTATATGATATATTCAAATAAAATTTTATGTTTTAGATTCACTTTTTGATGCTCTTTAAACCTATAAAGAGCTTTTTACAATTTTACTTGAAATAGATATAATACTAATTATTCATGGTGTCATTCATGCAATCCAAAGCTATTAACTGAAGGATGGACTAATGGCAATGAAACATTAGATGAATTGATTAAAAGTACACAACTTGAAGCAACAAGATAATTCACAGAGTATTTCTGATGAATTTCTTGATGAGATGAATTAGTTTTGGAGTTCTGATATCCGTAGTATCAACTGGTCAACAACTATTTAATAATTTGGCACATGATGAATATCTTGTAATGAAAATATGTAGAGGTGCGAGGCCTGGATTCTCAAACAATACACCAAAATTCTATATTGGACTAGCATTCAGATGCATGGATGCTAATCCAGATAAACATCCAATTATAAAAATAAAAATGAACAAATTAGAAAAGAGTTTGAGAAAATAGACAAAATAAAATTTCTTCCTTCAACAATTACTACAGTAATTCATCCAAATGCAATTTATACTAGCAGATTATTAAATTTTACAAACCTTCCCCAACCTGTGAATTCCAATAAAGTAACAATTATTGGTAATAATAATGGTAATTATTGACATTCAATCATTGATTATTTTCATTTTTATTAAAATTAAAATTAACATTATTATGTTATAAATTATCATATTTATAGTTTCTCATCTAATGGATATAAATATTTAGATTATTTATATTTTAATAATGGTACAGTCCCCGGCAAAAGTAATAGCACGTAATGTTTATGAATGAAAAATGTACTTTATTAAAAATTTTAAAAAAATTTTTTTTTTCTTAAAGCCAAATAGTATGGCTATAACTTTGATTATGGTGTTAGTACTTGGTATGAGCTCCTTCAGCATCAATGCACGCTTGAACCCAATTTTGCATGCTACCGATGCTATTAACTATGGCGTTTTTTTCGATTCCTCTCTAATAATACCGATAAATTTATTTTTGAAGCCTTTTTTTCCTGCTATCATTTTTTTGACATGTTTCTCAACATTATGCTTCAAAATAGCCCATATATTCTCAATAGGATTGAGATCTGGACTATATGAAGGCCAGGCAAGAACATGTCTTGGAAGGCGGGTATTCAGATCATTCATAACATCCCTAGATGTATGCTTAGGGTTGTTATCTTGCTCAAAGACCTACTAATGCATCAGCATTATCGTAAAGTTGTTCATTTAAAATTTTACGATATAGGCGGTGGCCAAGGTTTTCAGTAAAGATATGAATACTGACCTTCCCTTTAAAATTGATTGCACCCCAATCAAGAACCTTAAGGGGATGTTTTACCATAGGCTGGACAGGTTTCTTTTCACGAGACCATGCTAGCATCGTATTGCGAAAAAACTGGATAGTTGTTTCGTCTGAAAAAACAACTTTCTTCCAGTTGTAATGCACAAAATCTTGTGCCCATGACAAGCGGTTAATCTTTGCTTGTTCTGTTAGAAGAGGAACTTTTCTGGGAAGAGTAGCAACATAACCGAGGTTGGAAAGCTCACGGCGAACAGTTCTCTCACTAACTTCAAGATCTTGGTATTTTTCTTCTAAATAGCTTTCATTTCGGTGGCGGTCCTATAGTGGTTACTCTTGACGATCGTTCCGAGTTGGCACCGTTTTTCTGGTGATAATTTTCGCGGACGACCTGACCGGTGAATTTCCGGAATTTTTCCATTTTTTTTAATATGGTGACGTATCGTTGACATGTATGTAATGGGATCCCAGTTTTATTCGAAATTTCTTTCGGAGTACGAATATTTTGCTTCCAGAGAAAGTTAACGGCATTATGGTTGGCTTTAATAGGGTTCGAAGACATTTTGCAAGGTAAAGTAAAAAACACTGATGACGATTATTTTTTTTATTTACTTTTATGGTTACTATCTATTTACGCGACTCAATGACAAATAAACATTATAAATGAATGTTTTATGGTATCATGCCTGAATAAGTAAATCGAATATTCGCGCCATTACTTTCGCCGGGGGCTGTATTATATAAAGCTAATAACTTCCTGCAAGTATCATATCTTCAAATTTTTTTTTTCATTTTGAAATTTGGATGTCAAGTATGCAACTAAATAAAAAATAATTGTAATTTTTAATAATCATTATTATCATACCATACATAATTGCAGTATTGTTTGTTTCTTACTTTTTCAAATCAATGGTTTCATTTTTTTATAATATTGACAAATTGAAGTGATGTACTATCAATATATCATATAATATATAAATAATTTATTAATATTAAATATTTTAAAATTTAATACATATGTATCTGAATAATTTAAACATAATAAAATTATACCTAAGTTATCAATAAAAAGCCCACATTTAATCATTTCAACTTGTTAAACCACTATCACAGTCAACTTCTTATCATTCGAATTGACATCATTCGTTTATTATTCAAATTGTATCATTCATTTATCGTTCGAATTGATATCATTCGTTTATCATTTAAATTGACATCATTCGTTTTGCTTGAATTATTCATTTTATTTTGTTTATTCATTTTATTTTGTTTATTCATTTTATTATTCGAATTGTTGTCATTCGTTTATTCGAACTATTTGTTTATTTATTTTATTCATTTTATTCATTTATTTGTCTTTTTTGAATTATCAAATTATTGAATTATTCATTATTCGTTTTATTTGAATAAACTTTCAATGTAATTCAAATACTCAAATGATAACAAGTAAAACAAATAATTCGAATAGAAACTCTAATCAAGCATTTAGTTGTATCTAGTGATTTTAATTTAGTTTACCAGATTTGGTGACTCCAATAACTCTGATCACACGCTTGCGATATTTATTACAGTTTTACGACTTTAGGGTGTCAATGCTGAATTGTTGTAGTTCAGGTAAAATTTAATTTTTTTTTTAGATAAATAATATTAATATTGTTACCGGAATTAGATTTGGACGCTCTTTTGGCCGAATTTAACTAATTCCGAAATTCTTAATTTTTATTATTAT